CGTTTTTCGTATACAATGATATAATATCATTGGATTCAAATTTAATTCCATCCATTACAGTAACCCACTTGTAACCTACTGTACAGCAGAGCGACGTCCACTTGTTATAATTTCAATCCATAATTATTAAACCAAAATAATTTATGTTACATTATTTTCACGATTGATATAATTTATACTCTGATTAATTATTTTTTCATTTAACTCACGTATATATATATTAATGTATTATATATTTATATGTAAGTATTAGTATGTATTAACTTTTTGCCAGGACCGCTTTTTGTTCCAGCATTAAGAACATCGTGTGAAACAGATGTGGAATGTTTGCCGAATGCTATTTGCAAAAATAACGCCACATTAACGAATCCAAGATTGAAGATATGTGCGTGTAAAGATGGATATACTGAGGAAAAGGATTCTTGCAACTGTAATTGAATATTGGGTTTATTATAATATTAATAACTAACATTTTATAACAGCAAACTAGTGTTTAAAAAAAATAAAGAAACAAAAATAAATTAACATAAAAACGGATAAAATAAACTTTTTTTTTATAATAAACAATCTAAGCACAAATACAGCTTATTGTACTGTCATAGAGGTTAGGTTAGGTACGTTTTCGGGGTCGATGTAAAATGTTTCAAAAACCTTTATTTTAATTTTATAAAGTATGAATTTTCACATCTATAATGCCTATTGAGTAAATAATAAGACTATACATGTATAATTTGAATTCTAAACTATAATTTAGATACATTTTAGTATGTTGTAATATGATAGTAGTTACCTATATTATTTAAAAAAAATTTAGGTTTAAAAAAAATTTAATTTTTTGCCTAAAACTTTACAAAATGCGTGACAACTCGATGTGTAATTATTTTTAAATTTTATAATTAGACTGTTGGGGTAAACTGTATAAGCGTTATTTTTTGATTCTTTATTTAATCTCAAATTTTCGTTAGTTTAATATTTGGATACAATATAGGCGCATTGTTATATTTTACATTGGGGAAATATTAACTTTTATACCCCCCATAACAAGCATATGCTTAAAGGGGAGTTGCAAACACGTGTCTTACATATTTCTTCTCATATATTAGTGTGAATGTATATTGTCTTTGCTAACTAAAAATTATTATTATTATTATTATTTCTTAATGGCCATGGTGATAATTCTTATAAAACATAACAATAATTTAGAATATTGTTAGTTCCTTTACTACAAGTAACTTACCATCATTAAAATCGAAACATTTATTTTCTATACATCTACTGTAGAATTTAGTAAAAATTATCCAAGTTAAATACCTCAATAAAATTGAAATACTAAAACGTAAATAAATTTACTACATTTAATAGTACAGTAAAGTATTAGAAAATTTTATTTAACGTTTTATAAGTGTCAACAGTATCGTAATAGTATTTTTGTTCTGGAAATAGGTATTTTAGAATTATTGAAATTTTTGGGTAGTTTTAATTAAAAATTTTTAGAGTACGCAATAATTTATTGATTGTACGATTTAAGTATTAATATTAGTATTCACTTATAGGAGCTTAAAGTTTACATTGTAGGTATATTAAATACGTGCAAATATCTTATATTCTATTGATCGGAGGTAAAAAATATTCGTAAAATCCTATTAGTATAATTTGAAAAACACGCAAAAAACTATCAACCTTCTGCATCAACTATACATATTATATCGATGAAGTACACATTGTAAACAATTTTACAAATAATTGTTTGATTTACAGAAATTTTTAAATGTTAAACAATGCAATATGGGATTCATCAAAATATATATTTAATAATTTTTTAAACAATGATTGAAATTTAAACTTTTTTGTTTTGTAAATCGATCGTGTTTTAATAATTATAAGATCATTTATCGGCACTAAAATTATAATAAGATAATTCGAATAAAACGTATGAAAAATTATGGTTATCGTTTTAAAAGCAAAAGTTTCCATTTCATAAAAAACATAATTTTTTTTTTAAATTTAAGTCTTTTTACGCTGTAATTATAGTCATTGCTAACGTACCTACATATAATTAAATGTTACGATCGCATTAGTAATGTATGCAATAACTAATAATAATATATTTAAAAATGAACCAAGACTAAAAAATCTCGTGTTCTGATTGCATAAGAATAAATACGATACTGCATGAATTAAATTATAGAAATATGGCTAGTAGTATTTTCAAAGATAGTCGCGTGTTATATGCTTAAAAGTATATAAACTTAATATGTTGAGTTAATTAAATTGTTATATATTTTGTCAGAATGAAGTTTATACGTCTACATAATATATATAGTACATAATATAAATTTAATATATATATATATATATAATGTACTTTTCGTTCGTAATTTTATTTAATGGGTGTCGGTTATAAATTGATATTGCTCGAACGTACGTTTTGGTTTATTTTAATCGGTCGTTAGACGTCAGGCGAGTAGTAAAAGTGTATCAACACAGAAACCAATAAGTCGGTTCAAATTATTTTAATTGACTGTTTGTTTTCTATTGTTATTATGAAGTTTGCGTGACTCGATCGAGTTTAAAGCGATTGACCGACAAATTATTAATAGCACAACCAGGGAAGTTGGTCGGACATATTTTGACCTTTAGTGTTCATGTAATGTCAGACATATTGATAGTCCATCAATTTTTAAATAATGGACTTTTATTTTTATTCGAGACTTTGATTTTATCAAGAAAAATATACGAAAAGGGGGAATTGAAATTATTTATTCACCTATATACATTTGTCAAAACTGACGAAAACTTTTTAAATAAAACTAATTCAAGTTACTTCGTTTTTCATTTAAATTTGTGATTTAAACTAATGGATAAAATCCATCTGCTATGTAATACTAGTTGTCAAGCTATACCGTATAGGTAATTATGGAAAATTCGAAATAAATGACAAGAAAATCGTCCTTTTCTAAAGAATATATTTTCTATTTTCTATTAGTCATACTAAAATTTTTAAAATATAATTACAAATACTTAATAATAATATACGGATTGACAAAATAATAGTCTCTACGAATGATATTTTCGCCTTAGAAGAAAAATCGTAATAAATCATTATTATTCGTTTGAATGTTAAATTGAAATTGAAATGATTATGTTGTGCATAATATTTATTTGAAAATTTTTAAATTATTATAAGAAAAACTTGTGAGAGATTTTTTAATAAATTTCTAAGAATTTTGACTAAGCATTATCAGAGTAAAAAAATTATTGAGATCATATATAGTTATTTGAACTTTTGAATTTTAATACATCAAATACATATTATGTAAAAAATTCCAAATATATTTCTCTATAATAATACAAAAAAATAAAATAAATTTTAATAAATATATAATATTATTCAATCTTATTAAATTATATTATTATATTATACATTGGTCAACGGTTTGCGCATAAAATATTATTTTTTAGTTATTACCTGAAAACTTAAATAAACAACTTAATAATTACAACTTATTATTTATAAACCGATAAATCGTCTTCATAGATTTAATGCATTAAGTTTTAACATTCACTATCACCTTAAAATTTATTATTTATGTTTTTTACGATGTTGTTTATTAAGATGTTTATTTTAATAACAAAATGCTAATGTTGTTAATGAAATTTATGTTTTTAGATGCTGATTTATTAAATTTCAATTACCTGACTTTGTTCATCGCAGTTTTCACTTCATTGGTTTGGAATGATCATCGTGCATAGTCTTAGAAGACTTAAAAAAAAAACAAATTGTTTTTTTTTTTTCTATACTTGCACAGTATTTATTATCTATTTAACTATATTTTATATTACACTTCACTAAATGAATGCACAAATTATAATAATATTTTTAGGTCCTGTTGTATTACTAATTTACATATTGACATATTGTTCGCCTAATTTTAGTTAAATTTATGTGTTTCAATTTATAATAATATAATGTTTACTATAATATACTAATAATATTATATCAATTTTTTATTACACATTATTTAAGATTGGTATTACTTAAGTAAAACTATATTATATGCGTTGCATTTGAATTTAATATAATATATAAATATATTGTACTAATTTGAATACATTTATTATTAAAATATTTTACCGAATTCGAAATCGAATTATAATTAAAACTTATAATGTTTATTCTATTTTAAAAATTCGATTTAAATTGCAATGTATATAGGTACAATATGTATAACATATATTGATATAGGTAGGCAATTATATAAATTTATATTTAGATAATTATTAATTGTGATAAAGGAAATACCTTGATATTTTAGATTCCGAGCGGAGCAATGAATGTAGGATCGATTCTACTATGATGTGAGTTTGTGTAACTGTTGTAATAGCCTTTTTTAGCTGTAAAAATGTTTAGATTTTTTGGTTTCAGGATGGTTTCCAGTGGAAAATTGGATCTAGTTTCCACTTAGAAAATGATAAAAGTAAACATCTCCTGTAATTAGAAAATAATTGTAAAACAAAACTGTAAATAAACAATGGGAATTTTACGCGAATCCAGTTTTTGACAAAATCGTTGTCTTTTTTTGGTAAAACTTAAATTCACATTAAATATTTTCTATACACGATAATTTTTTCAAAATATTTTTTTAAAGGTCGATATCAGTTATTCTGTCGTTACTATAGTAAAATAATAAAAATTAAATAACATTGTTTGTGGGACACGAAACTTTTACTTTAAACAATGACATTTTCAAAATATTAAAATTAATTTAAACTTTTTATATCTATTGCACATAGGTGCAAATAGGGGGACTAGGCGGGCTTTACCCCCTAAGAATTGCTATAGCCCCCCTCAAAAAAAAAAAAAAAATTATTCCAGTATCCTAATCTGAGCTACAGCTTCAGCTCCCCCAGATTTCAAACACTATTTGTGCATATGTTATTGCACATTACATATTTATAGGTACTAATAATATACTATAGGGGGACGAGGTGGCCGAGTGTGGTCTATCGCGTCGGCTGTGGCTCAGCCGGACCGGGTTCGATCCTCGACCATCGGGCGGCATTTTTCTCCGGGCAAGTCACGGTGTCCGGAAAACAAGTGTCGCCATCCCCCACTCCGGGGCATGGCAGAAACCTACGGGTTTACCAACCTACAGTTCCATAAGAACCTACAGTACTACCCCCTTCCCAATGGCCTTAGTTGCCGCGGGATAATTAAACAAAATAAATAAAAAAAGACAGGTAAGTCGTGGATGTCGCTCTGCTGTACAGTAGGTTACAAGTGGGTTACTGTAATGGATGTAATTAAATTTGAATCCAATGATATTATATCATTGTATACGAAAAACGATTCTGAGCGAAGACTGTTTATTTGTTTATCGTCTAGGTCCTAGACTCTAGGATATATTATAGATTATTAAAAATTTTCAAATCTTAGATTTAAAAAGAAAATTTTTTATTAAT